TGCATGCCGTGTGTTACGTCGCATCTTCTCAGGACCTTGTCTGTCCCATCGCACCACTGTCCGTGTCGAATCCGTGTCGAAGGTCAAATCCGCGTGGAGTCCACGTCGAATCCACGTCGAATCCGCGTCGAATCCGTGTCGACTCCGAGCTGGGCACAAGAAAAAAGACAGCAATCTACAGGACAAACGAGGCCCACCGAGGATGCATCGCAACGCGTGGCGCAACCAGAAGCACTGGCCAGCGCACGGGGCGGCGACGAGGCAACGACGGGAGCCCACCGCGAGATAAACATCCAGGAAAAACACGCGAGGCCGGCCAGCGGGGCTGCGGCGAGGCGGAGGCGCGCGCCCGCCGCACGACACACCCGGGGAGCAGCGTGCGAAAACGCACGGGGCCGTCCCAGTAGAAGCCGCCACTGGGCCCTGTGCCGAGTGGGCGTGTCGGAATGCTTGCTGGGAGCAGCGTGCGAACACGCACGGGGCCGTCCCGGTGAAAGCCGCCACCGGGCCCTGTGCCGAGCGAGCGTGTTTTAAAATGCTTGCCATTGTCTTGGAGGTTTCCCAGTGAAAGCTGCCACCGGGCCTTGTGCCGAGTGGGCGTGTTAGAATGCTTGCTACTGTCTGTGAGGTTCCTGCAGTTTTCTGGGGCCGACCCCCCCCGCCTCGTAGCAAGCAGCCCTCGAACATCGCCCCCTCCGAGATTGCTTTCTGGCTGTCTTGTCGGCTTCCGAACGGCCAATCTGGCCTCCAGGGCGGCTTCTCAGACAGTCAAGACGACACCAGAACGGCTCCAGATGGCGCAAGACGGCTCAGGAGGCTCTGAAGACGGCCTCAAGACGGTCCAAGAGGTCCCCAGGGCGGCTTAAGAAGGCTCCGAGAGGCCCTTCTGGAGAGACCGAGGACTAACACCATTGACATTCCTATGGCTTTGGGAGAGTTTTGAAATTCTCACATTTGGGGGTTTCCGACCGCGGCCCAACGGGCCTCCAAGATAGCTCCAAGACAATCCATGAGACCCCCAAGAGGGTCCCGAGTCGGCAAAAGAAGACCCCAAGACAAGATCGTTCAAGGGGCTCCCAAGAGGGCCCCAAGCCGGCCGTAAAGCAAGAAGGCACCAAGACGGCCCAGAGAGGCCCCCCAGACGGCTTCCGACGGCGTCAAGCGGGCCAACCGCCTCCCTAAGACGGCCCAAGAGGCCCGCCAGGAGGCCCCAGGAGGCCCTCAAGAGGCCCCAGGAGGCCCCCCAGGAGGCTCCCAGGAGGCCCCCTGGAGGCCCCAAGAGGGCCCAAAGAAGACGTTTCCTCCTCCTCCTCCTCCTCCTCCTCCTCCTCCTCCTCCTCCTCCTCCTCCTCCTCCTCCTCCTCCTCCCTAACGCGCGGACGCAGACGATGTCGGGATCACGACACTCCCCAAATCTGACCACTCGCTGAACTGCCGCGGTGTGTGAACTCGACCTCCTTCCTACCGTGCGGACGAAGACGAAGTCGAATTCACGACCCGCCCGTATCAGAACACTCGTCGGAATTGCGCTGTTCCTACACTCAGTCTCCATCCTGCCGCGCTGTTGCACAGGCACGGTGGTGGGGTTGGCCGCAGGCAGCTGGATACTTAGGGAGATCAGTGCCAAAGTCAATCGAAAGTCCCTTCGAGCAAGCACTGCTTGGGAAGAAAAATGCCAACCTTCGGCCTCCGCTGGCCTTCCGCCATGGGGAGGGGCTCCGTTTTGCTGCCGCCGGCCTTCAAACGCCTTCTGACGAAGAAGAAGAAGAAGAAGAAGAAGAGTCAACCTCCCGACCATCACAGGCGAGGCCCTGTTAGAGCGGCCTGCCTGGCACCAGACCAGGCCACCGAGACCTCTCCCCTCCGATGGCACCGCGCTCCCCCCCAACGAGGGCCCGACGGTCCTGGTCAGATGGCACGCAGCCCAAAACAAGCCTTCTAAGGAGGGGGCCCGGGAATTATCTAGGAGATCCCTGGAGGTATGGGGCAAGCAACTCTGGAAACACACGATGGTGAGCGTTTTCTGATTCGGCGTTTCGACATTGAGCGGAAAGGGGGGGAGGGGGGCTTAATGCGACTGTTTGCAGCAGTGCGTCCTATGGGGAACGCTCCACCTGCTCGAAACAGGCGCCAAAAACAGCCAATCTCTACTCCATTTTGGGGGGAAGGGGGGGGGGGCGAGGGCCCGCGCCGATCGGCAAAACAATGCATGAGAAAACGATCACATGACTTCAGCTGTTTTGCATGTCCCCACAGCGAACCTTCAAACCCCACGGGTCCTTATGCGAGGTGTGCGGTGGTGGTTCGAAGGATTCGCTCTTCCAGAGCAATCCCATTCCACCCCTTCCTCGCCTTTTCCGAGAAGTGGGGGTTCCTGCCCGCCATATGTCTCCCGAGGGACGAGGACGATAACGAGGAAAAGGACGGAGACGGGGAGGAAAAGGCAAGAATGGAGGATGAAGGAGACAGGGCGGAAGACCGGGAGGGAGGGATTGAGGGAGAGAGGTAGGGAGAATGAGGAGGAGGAGGAGGATAAATCAGGAGGATGAAGAAGCGAGGATAGGTAAGATGATGAAGAAAGGAGGATGGATAATGGGGATCAGGAAGAGGAAGAGAAGGGAGAAGGATCAGCATAATGAACAAGATGAATACCCCAAACGGGCAACATGTATACAAACATGTACAGAATCATCGAAGCATATTCGTTTACACATGTATATATATATATATATATATATATATATATATATATATATATGCATACACAACTAAATGTGACAACACATTTACAAATACGTGTACAGGTACGCATCCGTATCCTTATACGTACATACATATATGCACATACACATGGACATACACATATACACATACACATACACATACATATACACACTTGTACGTATTTACACGTATACATAGACATATCCGTAGACATAGACGTAGGCACATGCATAGGCATAGACATGGACATAGACATACACATATACATAGACAGCTGCATATGCATAGACATAAACGTACATGCATGCATACATCCTTAATCCATTCATACGCACATACAGCAATACATATATAGTATAAAGCAAACACAAGCCTAGACATATATATATATATATACATATATATATATGATAAATGCATGCGAATAAGACTGTAAACTTGGACCTTGGTCATCAAGCCTCGGCGACGACGACGACGACGACGACGACGACGACGACGACGACGACGACGACGACGACGACGACGACGGGGGAGGCAGGTTCAGCGGGAGGAAGGGGAGGATGAGGGTTATGCCCCCGGGTGACTCTGCCGCCATTTGGGCTGACTTTCGGGCTGCTCGCTGCCATTCGCTCTGGTTGCCGCGGCTCCTCGCCTGGCCATTCTCTGTCGCTGCGCTGGAGCTTCCGGGCCCCCACCCTCCCCCACGCGCCGCCCCCCTCTGGCTGCGCGGCAAACGCGTTGAGATGCTCGGGGCACTGTCGGGCAAATCCCCTCCCCGAGCGGGTTCACGCGCGGATTGGGTGAGGCCGTCTCTGGGCTATGCCTCATCTGGGCGGTCTCCCCTCGCATCTTCGAACCCGCTAGGCGCGCGCGGGCTGTCTCTCTTTCTTGCTTGTCTCCCGGCGTACTGGCTACTGTTATCGCCAGAGTGCTGCTCGGCTCGCTGCCCATAACGAAAATACATAAGAGGATGGAGGGAGGAAGGAGGGGCCCTGAAAGGGACTGTGCCGTGCAACGGCAGAAATTCTGCGATCCTCGCACCCCAGTCCTTGAACCCAGGAGGCGGAGACGACGACGACGACGACGCCGACGACGACGACCACGTCTACTGGCATGAGGGAAACTGGTCCCAGGGGAAACGGACGCTGAACGCCGCGGCATTTTCCTGGGACCAGCGCTTCATCCCGTGCTGCTCTTCGACGGCCTCCGGGGCACAGGGAGGGCCCCCGGGGTCCCGGGAGGGCCCCGGGGAGCCAGACAACGACGGCTGACCTCAGGACCCGCTTCCCCTTCAGGACCCGCCTGTTCCATGGCGAGCCTACGACCACCACCCCAGAGGATCAGAAATTCTGGAGGTCGGGCCTCCATCCTGGAGGTGAGACACCACCTGAGAATAGAGGAACAACGCCTTCAGAATGGAGGTCTGACCGCACAGGACCTTAATTCTAAAGGTTTTTCAATGGAAGCATGCCTGGATCACCTCAGGTATGCAATTTGTCACGGACCCTCTGGCACGTTCACCACCTCCAAGAGGTATCCTGCGACAGCCGCATCTTGCCTTTGTAAAAACTTTGTCGTGCTCAGGGTCATTGGATCATTTCTAGAGGCCTCCTACATGGGGTCGGAGTAGAAGGGGTCGGAGGATCGCGCCGCATCGCCGATACATCGGCGATGCATCGGCGATGCACCGGCGATGCACCGTCGACGTCGGCGATGCATCGGCGACGTCGGCGTGGGGAAACCCGGGCTCCACATCGAGCCGCATCGTCGATGCATCGGCGATGCGGCGCGATCCTCCGACCCCACCTACTCGAATCTCATCTAGGATTAGGTCGGGCATGTCCCCCTGCAGGCGGATTTTCCACGAAAAATCAAAAATATTCAAAAAATGCTCAAAAATAGTCAAATCACAATCGAAACGTCGTCCCCAGACTATTTTACTGTTTTTGAAAAACCCTCCTGTAGAGAAACGTGCCCGACTTGAATCTAGGAGGCCCAGAGTGTCGCTGGAACCAAAAACCACCCCGAAGGCTTTTCCTCCTCTGGGGCGATCACGACCGCCAGGGCGGCGGCGGCCATGACCGCGAGGCGCGAAGGGGCCCGGGGACACGCACATCCCATGAACACACGCAGACCCCAGGATTCCCCCAAAGGTTCTCATCCTCTCTTGCTCGTCGCCTCCCCCCCCGCTTCCCAGATGCTCCCGGGGACTGACGACTCACCGTGCCTGTGTGTCTTCCCCCCCCTAAAAGAGGGGCGGAAGCCGAGCCCGCCGCGCTGCCGTTGTAGACGTCCCCGTTGGCGAAGTGCACCGACAGGCGCCGGGCGCCGTCCTCGCCAGGCCAGTGCGCAGCACGCGGGGATTGGGGCGCGGGGGCAGGGGGGGGCCGAGGCGAGAGATGACGTCGCAAGCTGCTGGACTTATCTCTCCAGGATGGAGCAGGGCCTCAGGCTGTCAGCGCTGATGCTCACGACAGCAGTGGGGGCCAGGTGGCCCAAAGCGAGGGTCCAGGCCGAGACCCACGCCGAGACCGACGGCATGTGCCCCGCATTCCGTCGTGACGCCACCGAGCACCTCGTAGGCGAGGCCACCGCCCAGCAGGATATGTATGACTGCTTTGGGACACGACGGCTCCTCCCTCGGGCTTGGACGTGGACCCCTCCGCCAGCAGCAGGCCCTGCATGGAGCACCTTTGGCATCGACACCTTCGCGCCGGACTGCTTCGAGGCAGGGCGGCGAGGGCCTGCGACCTACATTTTCGGCGACGCCAGCGGTGGAGCAGACACGGCCTCACCAGTGCTACGAGGAGTAGGCGTGGCAATCACGGCGTTCACGGACTTAGACGCCAACGGCATGGATCTGCAGATGGCACTGTGGGGATCCCTGGCTGGCGACCGACAAGCAGTGGTCAAAGGCGAGTTCTACGCCTCCTCCTTGCCCTGCAGGTAACATTCCATGATGTGATATACGTGACAGTTTGTGGAGGAGTCCACTTGAACTTCTTCAACGGCCACCCAGAGAGCCCCAAAGGACCTGACGCTGACCTCTGGCAAAGCTGAGAAGATCCAGAGGAGTGGGCACACGCACCCCCTGTAGGTGCTGGCGGATTTCAATAATATCGCTACGCGATCAGCCAGTCTCCGGAGTTTCCTCCTCCTCCTCCTCCTCCTCCTACTCCTCCTCCTGCTCCTCCTCCTCCTCCTCCTACTCCTCCTCCTGCTCCTGCTGCTCCTCCTGCTCCTCCTCCGCCTCTTCCTTCTCCTGCCCCGCCTCTCAGGACGGAAGGCTCGTGTCGTGCCGACTTTGGCGTTGGCTCCCGGCGCCACGAGATGATGTTGCTGATGATCGTGATGATGCTGATGGTGGTGATGATGAGAATGGTAATGGTGGTGACGATGACGATGGTGATACTGATGATGGTGATGATGGTGCAGATGATGATGCTGGTGATGATGGTGATGATCGTGATGATGATGACGATGACGATGACGATGGCGATGAGGATCGACGACGACGACGACGATGACGATGCCGATGATGACGATGATGATGATGATGATGATGATGACGCCGACGATGACGATGACGACGATGATGATGATGGTGGTGATTGTGATAATGATGATGATGATGGTGATGATGATGACCATGATAGTGGTGCTGATGATGATGCTATTTATGATGGTGCTGATGTTGATGCTGCTGATGATGATGATGTAGTTGATCATGGCGATGACGACGACGATGATTATGACGACGATGAACGACGATGATGACGGTGATGATGATGACGATAATTATGATAAGAATGCGACGACGCCGACGATGACGATGACGATGAAAACGACGACGATGATGATGATGAGGATGAGAATGACGACGACGCCGACGAAGACGATGACGATGACGACGACGACGCTGATGATGATGATGATGACGACGTCGACGCCGACGCCGACGATGACGATGACAACGATGATGATGATGATGATGATGATGATGATGCTGATGATGACGATAATGACGACGACGCCGACGATGGCGACGACGACGATGATGGTGATGATGATGACGATGGCGCAAATGATGACGCTGATGATGACGATGATGAATGGCGACGACGCCGAAGATGACGATGACGATGACGACGACGACGACGACGACGATGATGATGATGATGATGATGATGATGATCAGAATGACGACGACGCCGACGATGACGATGATGATGACGACAATGATGATGATGATGATGATGATGATGATGATGATGATGATGATGATGATGATGATGATGATGATGATGATGATGATGCGTTGCCGGCTTCGGCGTTGGTTCCTGCCACCGCGGGGATCGTGCCACATTGGACAATCGGCCGCTTTCGAAACGTCAGATCTTTCAAGAGAGACCGATTCTTGGCCGCTAGCGGCGTGTCACCTTGAACGCCTGCGCTGGGGCCACCGCGCTTCGACGCGACGCGAACCTGCTGTACGCCGTAGGCTCCCAGCACGGGCGTCTCCGGCCTGGATGGGCGGCAGAGCTCTCTTGGGCTCTGCCTGGCGTGTTTATAAAAAAACACTTGCTCCAGGATGGGATCTCTCTCTCTTTCTCTGTCTCTCTCTGCACCTTGAACTGGGGAAGGAGGTCTCACTCAGAGTCGCTTTGGACCAAAATTGATAACTCCGTCCAGACACCAGCTGGGAGAAGTCACCTGAGGACGATATTCCACGACCTTGGCCAGACGTGCTCTTTGTGCACGGATGCGCTCCCCCCTTCTCCTCATCCTCCTGCTCCTCCTCCTCCTCCTCCTCCTCCTCCTCCTGCTCGTTCACCACCCCTTCCTCGACCTCCTCCTCCCCCTTCGTCGTCCCCCACTCCTCGCCGTCGTCGTCGTCGTGGTTCGCATCGTCGTCGTCGTCGGCGTCGTCGTCGTCTTCTTCGTCGTCGTCCTCCTCCTCCTCCTCCTGCTCCTGTTCCTCCTTCTTCTCCTCCTCCTCGTTCTCCTCCTTTTCCTATTGAAGACGTGAAACCCAATGGTCTGAAACTCCTCCTCCTCCTCCTCCTTCTCCTCCTCCTCCTCCTCATCATCATTCCCATCATCATCACCATCATTCTCTTCATCCCCGCCAAAACAAGATGGCCACCTGGGACGAGCGTTCCGCTTCCCCGGAAGCGAGTCGCTAAATGACGGTAAATCGCGCTGTCGCGCTGGCACCGCGGCAGGGTATGCCGCGGGCTACCGGCCCTCCCACGAACGGTGTGCGGGCCAAGGGCGAGAGGCGGCCCTAAGAAGATGGCAATGGCGTCTTCCCCCCCTCCATCCTCCTCCTCTTGACTATCCTTCTTCCAGCTCCTTCTCGACGGACCTCACCCTCCTCCTCCTCCTCCTCCTCCTCCTCCTCCTCCTCCTCCATGTCCTCCTCCCTCCCCCTCATCATCCCTTCTTCCTTCTCCTCCTCCACAACCTCATCCCCCTTCTCAGCTCTTCGTCCTCCCCTCACCTGCCTCTCCTTCCTCCCGTTGCCTCCACCTGCCTCCTCCTTCTCCTCCTTCTCCTCCTTCTCATCCTCCTCATCATCACCATAACCAACACCATCACTAGCACTATCGCCATGATCACCACCACCATCAACACAACCAACGCCATCACCACCACCAACAACAAGAACACAAACAACAGCAACAACACCACCAACAAAAACAACAACAAAGACAAACACAACAGCAACACCAACAACACCAACAAAAACAACGCTAACAACACCAACGCCACTACCAACAACGACAACAGCAACAATCGTTCTAAGACTGTTCGCTCTTACTGGCCCGCGTGTCATTCAAAACGAGTTCCCCACACCCTCGATACCCGCCATTTTGGTATTTGATCACACCCCCTTTGGGGAAATTCTTTCTCTTTGCGGGGGGCGGCGGGATTAGACAGGCGGGCAAACCTGAAAGGGCGGATAATCCTTCGTGGGCGTACATGTGCCCGCCATTGGAATTGGTGTGGGCCCTGCAAAAAAAGGAGGGGGAGAACGAGGAAGAGTGGGAGGAAGGGAGGGGGAGGGATGAAGGAAGAGGGACAACGCCAGGAGAGAAGGAGCGAAGAGGGGGGCGGTTGATTAGCCGCAGAGGGAAAGAGAGAGAGAGAGAGAAACAAAACAAAAACATATAAGATAAGTAGAGAAAGAGAGAGAGAGGGGAGAGAGAGGGAGAAGGGAGAGGAGGGGGAGGGGATAGGGCAGAGAGGCATAAGGATGAGGGAAGATAGGAGGGAGAGAAAAGGGAGGAGAGGAGGGAGGGGGGAAAGGGAGGAGGAGCAGGAAGGTAAGAGCGTGAACGTTCGAGGAAGTCCTGGGCGAAAGCGCCGTTCCTGAAGGAAGTCTCGGGCGGGAGCCCACGACGGGCGGGCGATCCCCTGACGGGCGGGTCGGGCGGGTGGGACATTCAAGAGGGATGCCTGAGTATGGCGAGAGCGCGATTACTTAAACAATTGTAACGGCGTCCTTGGCGCAGCGTGTTTCCTGAGCGTCGAAAGCGCGATTTCTGAATACATTGCATGGAAGTCACAGGCGAGAGCGCAGTTCTTGAATAAAATGTGAAGGGTTCTCTGGCGGGATCAATTGCGGGGAAATCTTGATTCAAGCGCGAAGAAGTCTCAAGCGGGAGCGCCGTTCCTGAATAAATTGTGAGGACGTCTCAAATGGGAACGGGGGTCTTGACTAAATTGCGAGGAGGTCACAGGCGGGAGCACCGATCCTGAGTATATTGGGAGGAAGTCTCAGACGGGAGGCGGGGGGGTCCTGAGTAAATTTGGAGGAACTCTCAGGCGGGAGCCGTTGTTGTTGTAGTCCGGGGGGCCAAGGTCCCAGTTTGACCAGGAAGACTTTCCCTGTCAAAAAACCGGGTGCGAGCGTCGAGGGGCACACTTTGACTGAGAAAAAACAATATGCACCGGTGGGGGGGATCAACAATAATTATTGTGTAGAAATCAGAATTCAATACCAACACCAACAATACTACTACTACTACTACTACTACTACTACTACTACTACTACTACTACTACTACTACTACTACTACTACTACTACTACTACTACTACTACTACTACTACTATTACTACGACTATTACTACGACTACGACTACGACTACGACTACGACTACGACTACGACTACGACTACGACCACGACTACGACTACTACTACTACTACTACTACTACTACTACTACTACTACTACTACGACTACTACTACGACTACTACTACTACTACTACTACTACTACTACTACTACTACTACTACTAACAAAACAACAACAACAACAACAA